CGATGTGTTTGGCTTTAGTTTGCATGGTAGAAGCGGTTATACAAGGACAACGGTAGCTTTGTTTTAATTGTAAACAATTATGTATCCAAAGCTTATTCGAATGTTAATGTTAGTATATTAAATTAATGAATGTATCAATGGGATAGTTGAAATTATAGCGCGATCTGTTTATCAATTTCTTGTTATGTTAAGTAATGAAGCATGCTTAGGCAACGAATGCTTTTAATGTGAATGAAATAGAATGTGGGTGAGTGCATGGTTAAAGGATTAAATAGCTTGTGGAGGGGTTTGCTTACGTGTGAGGTGATAATTGTTGTTGAAAAGAATCGGGTAAAATATTGTATGATGGAATGGACGAAGTCGATAATATATTAAAAACATCTTCATAATCTGCAAGGGAGAATAAATTCAAGATATCACGGCAATGACCGAAATGTTGACAAAATGTTATAAATTTATATTCAAGTCAGTAATATTACGAAAAGGTAAAATTTTATCGTTCAGCTAAATTGCTTACGAACGGATTGATCTTTCAAGACACGAGGTTTATTTAAATGTATTTTACAATGTGTTGCGCATTATGTCAATTTATAATAAAGAATTATTAGTCGACCGTCATATGTACTTCTTTTTAATAGTTCCGGTCCCGTAGGAAGTAAAACGCTATTGTTAGCATTACTTTGTCGTAGTAAGCGTTGGCGACTTTGATGATTACGCAATTTTTCTAATTGGAGATATGACCAAGCAGGCCAAGTATGCGTAAACGGAAACGTGGATCTATGCCCATTATTCTGCGTTTGATGTATTTACCGTAAGTTTCAACGCTATTATAATTATTTGGAATAAACTCTGTATCTCGGTAATGACCGCGACCATTAGGAAATAAGTCTGGAAAGAGTAGTGGTTCTAAATTCGGATCGTTAATTGATATAGGAAGTGTATTCCCATCCGCTGAACAAAGGAAACTGGCAGTTAGTCGTGAGTAGAGAGAGTCTTTATTATGTATTTTTTCAGGAGAATTAAACTTGGGAACAATAATATCATTTGGTTGAACTCGCTGAATTGTCTTCTACCACTGAATTAGCCGTTGGCCATGGAGAAATTTCAGATGAAATGTTTGATTGCAGTATCTGATTGCAAGAGTCGAGTAACTTTGGAGGTAAGGGTTATTTTGTTGAAGCCAAGTTACTGCATTTCGTAGGGTATGGTGGTACCAGTGGTTATCATTTGAAGGAGTATCCAAGTTTTCAAGAAAGCTCCAAGCATTCCTGAATATAGTGTAAGAGTTCTCAGATTTTTGGAAAGTCCCATCGTATCGACAATAGAACAATATTTTGTGTATACGTTAGCATTGGTCTTCCTAAACTGGACATGGAAGAGAAGATATCAAATTTTCCGCTTTCCAGATAAGTACTGGGTTAGATCTATGAACCGGAGCATTATCATCTTGAAAGACATATCATCTGGGCTTTCAATAAAAGAAACTAAATAATCTTCTAAAAGTTTTTATAGACTTGGCCTGTAATATTTCCTTCTAACACTACCAATGGGCCAAGTCGATTTTTGACAAAACAGCTCTAGACCATTACCCCTTCACTATTACTCTTTACAGTAGGCACTAGACAGTCTACATCATATTTCTCATGAGGCCTACGCCAAATCCATTGCTGACCATCGTTTTCAAAAAAAAAAAACTGGGATTTATCGCTCCAAATGATTATATACGTTCGCGACACCATCTTACGCGTTTTATTCTGGTTTTCTCTTTCTTCAAGCAATTCTTTCCTACAATCTTTAGTTTACTCGTACAAGAGCTCGCTCATCACGCTCAGTCAAAAGAGGTGGTCTCCCTGAACGAGCCGCGAGTCTATCTTTTTCAAATTTGTTAATAACATTATTGCAAGTAGTTCTGGGTATTCCAAATATTTTTTGAGCTGTGCTTACCCTTGTGAAGACTGATAATCATTCTACGTTCAAAAACAAAAAGTTTACGGGACTTAGACATTTTTTTATAAAAATAGTAAGTAAAGCTAAGAAGTAATTTTATTATTTGAAAGCTACGGTCTTTGTCTGCTCTAAAAAAAAGGTGTTTGAAATTAAGTTATGAGATATCTCAATTTGAATGTAAGCGACGGGCACAATCTGATCACAAAGTGACGGGTACTTTTGGTAGGGTGTCTCAATCATATGATTTTGATTGTTATCGAACTTCGAATTTCGAATCGAGTTCACTCAGTAATAGTAAGACCTAATTCTCGAAGATGCTCAAAAATAATCAATTTTTCTTGAGTTAATCCTGTGCTTGCTGTTTGATAAAATTATTGGTGCATCTTAATATAGTAAGACCGTACAATATTAAACCCCAAATTTTGGATACTGATATAGCATCTCTTTCAATGACTGACATTGATTGATTGATTGATATAGAACTATGCGTATATTATGGAGACGAGTAACTATTGTTTTGTTAAATAAACCACTGAAAAACAAATTACAAAACGATAAAAATTATATACAACATATATAAGAGTACCGTATATGAAGAATTATACGATTCAACAGAATACGAAACAGCAGTGCGTTTCTTGGCAATAGGTTGCAAATGCAGTTGCTCAAAAATAATTCCGAGAGAAACGTTTGCCGAATTACGTGAAGCATTTTAAGCTCTCTCTAGAACATATTTTTGATGGCCCAGCTAAAAACGATAAATGGTGGAGAAATAACTGCCAGTTGACGTCTTAGAAACGCGTACTAATAAGCAAACCTTTTACTATTTGACATTGCAATATGCCAACCTTTGTCAGAAAACGTATCTCAGTATGTTAGAAATTGGTCGCATTTATTTCGAAAACGTCAGAAATCACTTAGCGGCGAATGGCATAATACCGCACGTTTATGGTAACATAAAACGAATGCCGCGATGAAAAACTAATATAACCATTGATATAACCGTTGCTGCTGCCGTGAAAAATTTCCTCGAAAACTATGCTAAAATTTATGGGCCGAAATTAAACTAAAAAAGGGGCTGTCAGCTGAAAAAGAGATAAAATTTTTTTAGAAAGTATGGGTATTTGTTGGTTAATGCGAAGCAAAGAACGAATAATTATCAAGAATATGTCATAAACGGTAAGTTTATGCAGCAAACGATAGCTATGGAAATGTGCTGTTAATAAATATTGATTGCAATATTATTACTAAACCTCTGTTTTATTGTTAATATAGCAGATTATTCCAAACTAACATAAATTCCGGTTTGACTGACATACAAGTGTGACGACAAATTACAAACCGTCTCTATCAATAAGATTACGATAAACATAAAGTTTTCCTTTTTTTCGATTAGCGTGCGCGAAACATTTAAAATGGTATGACATTGCTAATTATGTTTGTGAAGGTGAATCGGAAATGTCGACAGAGATTAATATTAGGGAAATAAAATCCGACTGTTGAAATGCTTACTGTATATTCGTACTGTAACTTGTTTCGTTCTAGTATTATACAGTTTTATTGTAAATGTACACAATATAATAAGATATAGAAGTAGAATTGCAAAAAAAAAAAACAAGTCGTAAATATTACTGTAGTAATTAAGGTATTAGTATGGAGAATAAAACAAACTGTCAGAAAACGACTGTGGATATTACCCGAGACAATTAAAGCGAAGAAAGTAAATGTAATGTAGCTTTCGCGGAGGACGTCGATGTCAACAGAAAAGACCTCTTATACAAGTAAGCAATTTGTACATTATCACGAGAAATTACGGCTTATGGCAGTGGAGAATCGTTTATACAAAAATAAAAATGCGCAGGATTAATCAAAAGCTGCGGAATAAAGATGATACGATAGAATAAATAAAAGAGCAGGAAAGCGTCGACCGATAAGCGCAATGGAGAATGGAGAAGGTAATACGATGATGTGACTGAAAGCGGAAACTGTCTACCGATAAGCGAAAACGTCCCTTACGGTAGGAGGGAAAAATCGATGTTGACAAGTCATAAAGTGTTTGTAATACATTTATGTAAAAGTGAAATGATGGTCGGAAGATATTTTATGGAAATAATATGAAATGCTTTAATATTAGCGAAGCGACTTGGGCTGATGTCTTACTAAAAGTTTCATTTATTAATTCTTGACTAATGCAAAATAATTGGAACATTACCGGTTTTTTTTGACACACTGAATCTGCGGTCAATTACGTCGTTCGCTTGCTTGTGAACTTTATTTGTGTCCGATCAACACAAATGCACATCGATTTTTATGAACCGATTCTGGAATTTGACCCGTTTCGGGGTTGTCACATTAGGATAATCTTTTGAACCAATGATTACAGAATTTACGTAATAAACAGATCGAAATTCCCAGAACGTTCGTATCATCGGCAATCAAATGTTTATCAGTAATGTTATATATAACCCTTTGCCATTGCTTTTTCTTTAAAGCAATGCAAACTATTGGCTACATTAGACCTGTACAAAAATTCTAGCATTTTTTACATGACAAGCGTTTACAGCGCTGACAGTTTGTTCGTCAATAAAGTCAATAGCATTGCATTGTCAATGGGCCCTTGCTGTCGCGGAAATACCCGTCTCAAATGTTATTCAAATAAAGCTTGCTTCAAACACGCTTGGTTTGTTAAGAATTAACTAGGTTGAAGAACTACATCAGGAATAATAGACAAAGTCATTCGATAAGCAAATAAAAGTTCTATCTCGAATCATTAAGCTTTATCTGCAAATCAACATTTTTCGCCTGTGTAACCACGCATACTAGTTTTTAGCCAATTGCATACTAAAGTTTTGTTTACAAGCAAATAATACCATCTTTGGAAGCTTACGTATCAATAACTTTCAAGATCGTTAGTAATCGGGACAATTGTAATAACCTAATCTCCTGATATTCTTTTGTCATTATAAATACGACTGCATCATTCACGAATATAATCTAACATTATCTTATATCTTACGAACACACTATTACTCCAACGATTAGACAAATCGACAATGTCCATGCATAGTGATGAACTCTCAAGCTTATCCAACGGTAACTTTGCCACGAATCAAATTCCAATGGCCGCTTGTCTAGAATTATCCGACCTGACCTGTGACGACAAAATGCTTTTGCTCTATCCGCCTTATTATCTTTTCGCTCCTCTCGAATCGCTTCTCGATCCAATGCGCAAGAAATACGCGAGAAAAAACGCTCCTCCCCCGCGCCCAAGAAATTCCTGGCTCATCTTTCGCAAAAATTTTGAAAGCTTATTGCGTAATTTTTGTTCGAACCAACCGTTTACAATTCAAGAAATTTCCAAGTTGGCGAGTGAACATTGGAAAGAACAATCAAAGTTAGTCAAGCGGTATTTCAAAGTTCTTTCTAAACTTGCGTATCATATACACAGGAATGCGTATCCTGACTACACTTATAGACCAAGAAAGGCGAAACATATTAGGCAAAAAAAGTTGGTGTTTAAAAAAATAGATACAGACACAATTTTGAAAACTAGGTTTTACAAAAACGATACAAAAGGGGAAAAGGATGTTTATGAAAATTTTGGCATTGACGATGCTGGCAGCAACGAAAATGAAGATAGTAACAAATTGGAATTCATTTACAATGACAACTGTTATGCTAACAGTAGTCAGACTAGCAACGATAATGCTGTGTCGTTTAACACACAGTGTATTCCAAATAATTTCTTTACACATAACAATACAGTAAACCAGATGTTTTCTCCGGAAGAGTTTAATTTGGTCAATTACATTAACGACTTGTTTCTTAACCATTATTCTACTCATTTATCTACACATTGTATTTCCCAAAATTCTCCGTTTGTTCTATTCTTGTAATCTTAACATTTCTACGACAGCTCGGAAAATGTATACATAGATAACGTTTATCAATATATACAGTATATAAGTATAATTATATATATGTCAATTAACAATAAAAATATATTCTAACCTTGTACACCACAGCAACAATTAAACAATTGAGAAAGTTTCTCAATTTATTTCTGTCCAAATTACGTTGAGCGAACAAGACCGCGTTGAGCAGTTTTTCCCTGTCGATAGAACAAATAGACACAAATATTTTTATTTTTTAAATTTTGTTATGTTTGTTTGTTAAGTAGACAATTGCGAGTTTAAGAATAGTCGAATTTGCTAACCATTTTCTAACATTTTTACAGACTACACAAATGTTATTAATTAAAATATACAGAATAAGATTATAAGATGTACTTTAAAAAAATTGGCGTTTAACAAAAAAAGAAAGCAAGATAAGACCCTCCGCGTTAGCACCGAATACTAATTTGACAAATTATATTGTAATTGCACGTTTAGAAGATTCGAGAAGAAGCTCGTTTGTTTTGATAAAAAGTTACAGATAATGTGTGGCTTTTTGCTCGTCAAAATTAATAAACATTTATGCGGTGAAAAATATTTCTGATTATGAGAATCAGGATTATGATCCGGGTTTCTTTATCATTGTTTAATACATTACCTTTTATGGGAAATTTTATCGAGATTAATGATCAACCAATCACATGGATATGCTAAAAGTGATCTACGAATCATCACGTAACAACAGTCAACGTAATCTCTGATTATTACATAATGCATCAAGTAGTCGAACCGGATTATTTGGGTGAAGATGGGGGAGATGTTTATTTCAGGCCAAAAACCTTCTTTTTCATATGAGTAACCTTTATTTACTTGAGTCGTATGATATGCAAAATGTTGTTATACAATATGCAAACAAGCAAAACGCTTTATGGACAATCTAGTTATGGATATCGGTATACATATTCAACAGCACGTAAGTACGGTATCAAGCGTAGAGATTAAAATAAGAAGACGTATATCAAACTCACAAACTGCATTAGTATTAACAATATATTAAATTCATTAAGACCATGATGTGGAATTACTTCATCTACGAGCTCGACTAGTTTGTCAATTGGAACCCACATGGCCACCTGCAAGATAATAGAATAGTTTCATGTCATTTCCATGAACGGAGCATATCGTCTCCGCCAAACCGGTCATGACCTTCTTTGAGAATTCGAAAATAAACATCGAAGGAAAGATTGCTTGCCCACGGACTGCAGGTTTTGTGTGTCAACTCTGTGTACAATACTTATACTAATGGGATATAATCCTTTACAAAATAAATAATGATGTGTTATAAATTACGTGCTACCTTAAGGCTCGCTAGTTTGGGGTAAAATTGTTTATGTTAAACAGTTAAATAATTAGCATATGTTAACAGTTTTAATTATTATTTGGATACCCATTTTATACAAAAATAACAGTATAAACCAATAAACAACGCAGTATTGATAAGCATTATAATCCATCTTGAAAAGGTAAAAGTCGGTCTAGACGTCCGGGCAGGGCAATATGTACTGATATTAATTAAAACAAATACTCCATCCGGATCATAAAATAGAAGAGTGAATTTAACCAATAGCATAGATATCGGTAATTCCGAATGCGTAGTTTGCCACAGAGCACAATCCATCGGTCGTATTTCTGTATCAAGACGGTCGAATATTAGAAAGCCGGAGCCAATGTAACGTGGAAGAACGGACCTTTTCTATTGTGACACAAAATACGATCTCTTACTGCCTAAAATATTATCCGTACAGTTGGGGAAAACAAAGATCGGAGTCACGGCCTAGGCTTTACAATACCATTTTTGTGGTTTGAGTTTTTGTAGTGTAAACATTCGTGATGTTGTATAGTAAAGGGTTGCACGGTACTGAGGTTCTCTCCTCATGAAAACAATTGTAATGTGCGCACAATCAATAACGCAAATCGTAAATCTGTATCCATTTCTATAATCTCAGACTCACTACAACATTGCTCATTTACATGCCTGACTTTGCATCGCAATTTGACGTATACTCGATGACACATGTCGGAGATAGATGCAGTATTGTATTCAATCATCTAACCAATTACTTTATACTCCATGTGTCACGTTTTCTTTTCATCGGAGTTGTTGAAAAGATGGATGTAAAAAATTGGTCATTTTGAACAACATGATACTGCATGTAGTAAATAAGTCATCGCTAATGATTATCAAAATAGACCCGATTTATTATCTGCATATAATTGGCAGAGTAAACAAACATAAAATTTTCACGTTTTTATACGACAGAATTAATAACAGATTGTTGATATCAAACATTCGAAAGCAATCGTGACCGTAAACAGCTCATCATACGAAAACCTTACGCAAAGCAAAAGACGTTGTTAATCAATAAGGGAAATGATAACTGTACAGAATCGTACTGCGTGTGTTAGTTTTTTTGCGTACCCCCGTTTTTTTATATACTTATTGGACAACAAGATATTAACCATTGGATGTGGTGTTGAGCAACTTGCTCATTAAAGCCAGGACATTCCAAAGATATCAGTTACTGCATATACGTTTTGCCGTTCTATTTATAATTGCCCTGATGACAAGTTTCGTTAAAATGCTGTTTGCCCGTTCGGACACCAACTCCGGGGCGAAACGGAAAGTTACACTACATTTTTTTTTGCAAACAATTCACAGACTTTTGTTCGCCAAAATGTGCTAAGCCTTAAAGAGATCAAGCGTCTCAAAATAGACAAAGTTATGCTGTTGTGTGACAGTTAGTCTGTCTAAATTAAGAATCCAATCCATCTATGGTTTGAAGGGTGCTTTACGATTATAGGTATAGAGTCCAATTAAAGTGAAATTTTCAATTTTTGAATGAACATACATTGACTGTCGAAATTCATAGTCAAATGACCGAAAACTTTATCAAATACCCCTTATCGAGCCAATTTTTTTCCTGCACATCGTCGTTGGGCTGATTTTGCGTATCGATGGAAAAGTTTTTTTTTTATTATTATTTATAACAATATTTTGTCTCTACATGTATCAATTTGGCTAAACCAAGTTTGTCTTTGTTTAAACCGATTGGTTGCTTTTAGAGAACAGTATAAAAATTCGCCTAATCCGGCCATGAAACTAAGCATGCCTCATTGTTGGGAGCCGTGTTACACAGATAGCCGAATACGGTATCACTCCCGGCTCGTATCTAACTTCTGGCATACTTATTTTATTCAATTGTTTGATCGATTGTGGAATCCATTGCGTTCTTAGAACTTGTATAAAAAGAGCGTTTGGGGGTTTCTAATTCGGTTTGAACTTTGTTGTCCAAATTAATGCTCATAATGAAGCTATTATAAAATTTTTGGAATAATGGGCATACAAACAAATATCTGAATTATAGCAAATTACGGGCAACATGTCCGTCATAGTCAATAAATAAGCATTTTACATACTTGAAAATGTTTATTAATTATCCGATCCTGGCTGACTAATTGTCATGTCCCAGAACACAAAATTTTATTTTACAGCCACAATTATCACGTCTTTGGGTTTGCTTGTATAAAGCTGCATGCGTTGTGCTATTCCGATTTAACTAATTGATGTAACCTGGCTGTAATGTTTATATACTGCTCCATTATTTTGATCAATGAGAAACATTTATAATTAATACGCGCACAACATTTAAATAATTGATTGCATATATAAACAAATACATGAGAGCCACGTATGAATTAACAAACTAACATACGGTTTTAGTAATGTAAATAACAATTTAGCTATTTTCATATGTGTATTGTTTGGGGCATAATTACAGTAATACATTGCGGAATTTTTATTTCGCTAAAAAACGCTCGAGTGATACACGATGACGAGAGATGATAGGTGCGTTCTTTAATGTCAAATTAGGCTTATCCTCTTTTTAACGTTCGTGATCGATCGAAAAAAGAAAGCGCGGTAAACAACTCTACATTCGTATATGTCTTGTTAAACCTTGACTTACTAAGCGTTAATGATACCATATTAAACACAACCTTGCAGATCGGGGGAAAAAAACTCTATGTCCGTTCCGTTATTACAGAGAAGAAAAAAAGGACGAAGCGGAGAACAGCGTTTTTAAGTTTGTTTCGTAATCTATCACCAAATAACCGTCCTACATGAATAGCATAGAAATGATCAGCTTTCCTGTTTTATTATAGAGTAAAATTTTTTTGTTTGTTTTCAATACATTATTTATAACTGCTAAATAATATATGCATGCCAAGTGTTTACAGCAAACGCTGATTTAATGCTTATCGGGTGTTGCGCTTTTCTGAATCATTTTGGTATACAAGCTAGAAGGGTCTATCTGATTAGTCTCTAACTTAAGTATGTTTACATCCTTGAGAACACAAATATGCTTGCGCCAAATTGCCATAAATATTAGTATATATCGCTCAAACTTATATAAATGCCCACTCTTATCCAACACTCTCCAAATATAATATAGACATTTAATAGAGTTACTTACTATAGATTAATTTATTATATACAATGTCTAAGCTCTCTGTCCAGGTTAAACAGATGTTCATACTACCCTATTATTTCGATAACGACAGGGCTTATACGATTGAATTAATGAACGCAGCAAATATTCATAACCCTTTCGAGCGACACCTTTTGCTCAACCCACCATATGCACTTAGTTTACCTCTCAAAGAGCTTCTGGAACCAGCGCGGAAAACCAGTGCTCTACCACCTCCTAGGCCAATGAATCCTTGGATTATCTTTCGCAAAGATCTCGAAGGTCAACTGCGTTTTTTTAATTCTGAACGGCCGCGTAGCATGAAGGAAACTTCTGCGACTGCTAGTTTTCTTTGGAAGAATCAGCCAAGAGTAAAACTGTACTTTACCGTGCTTGCTAAATTGGCAGAGAAAATACACAAAGATGTCTACCCTGATTACTGCTATAGGCCGAGCAAGTCAAAACGGCCCAAGTCACCTAATTGGCGGTTTATACGGATGGATGAAAGAAACCAGAGAAAAAAATCCAGAAAGAACGTACCTACTACCCATCAAGCAGACAATTATAATATTAATAATAGTCAACAGTATCAACATATTGAAGAAAATAAGACTGGTCAGCCAAATCAACACATTGGCGATAACGATGCCAACAACATCTCGTTACACAGCAATATTGACGTATCCCACCAATACTATAATAACGTAAGCAACCTTATCTCGCCTTATAACGTTTACGACAAGTCGTTTAATTACAATATTTTACCGAGCCATGCAACAATTCAAAACAACAAAATCGACACCGCCGCCGTCGGTACATTGAATTTCCCGATAATTGATCAACAAGGTTACAGAATTGCCTCTAATGTCGTTGATACCGCCGCCGCCAAGTCTTTAGTCTATATACCACTACTGGGCAATGCGGCAAGTACTATCGTCATGGAAGAATGTCCGATACGTAGTAACGGTTTCATTGTTTAATGCATGTCAGGGGGAAGCTTTATGATTTTATTAAGTTTATTCGTATGTAATAAGTCGTAAAATATTTTTTTTTCTCAGACAAATTCTTAACTACAACTATGCGTAATACCCTTTTTATTATATGTTTATAATCAATCCTTGATTCGGATTAATTTGTTTTTCATTTACGGCAACTTGTTTGTCAAAAATCTTAGCGGTCGTTATTATCAAGTCATCAAGTGACAAGTACGGTCGAGGGTGACTTGATACAGAATATTTTTATATATATAAAATTTTTTTAAGACGTATAGTAAAGTATGGTTTTTAATTTTTTTGCGAAGCAAGAGTTGAATTCAAGTATTTACGAAGATAATTATAGTCATAATTATTTGAACTTATCTGTTTCTTTGCTAATAAATTTCTTGCTTGGGCTTTTTGTCAACATTGTCGAAACCCTTCTTTGAAGAAATTGGCAAAATCTACAATTGGGACCACAGGTCATATTTTGATCTACACCTCCAAAAACACATGCGTCTACGGTAATTTCTGTAATAGCTTATAGCTTTATTAATTGGGTGCTTAACTGAACGCTGACAAAAATTTGCAAGACTTTTGTTCTTCAAAAGTATACCAAACCCTTTTTCTGTTCACTGCAATATCACAGTGTCATATTCTCGACACTTGATTGAGTGTTGATAGCGGAAAAAACTGTAGATACTACAATAAAAGTAATCTTGTCTAACGCAATAATAAATTAGGCAACGTTATTACACTATGAATGTTAACTTGAACAAAAAAAACCAAGACATCAAAATCAAAGTGCGACTATGTGCTGATATAACTGTAAAGGAAATTGTATAGAAAATTGACCTGCCTATATTGATAATACAAATTTTCATGCACTCATCAGATTCGAACGGGAGATAATATAAACAGGACATTGTGGGATCCCTAATAAGCGCTAGTCATTAATTTGACATAACTATTCTGAGAACTGTACCGTAATAAAGTGGTCCAATAGTGCCAAAAAATGCTATCAAACTGGTTATTTTAACAAGTATTCTATTCACAGTTTAATCCTAAAGCTTGCTATTATGCAAGCAGCAGTTGCTCTAATAATTTTAAGACAGCATAAGATGAGAACGTTTAATTTAAAATTGTACATTTTCATTGTGATAACTTTACATTAAATTTTGGCAATTTTGATACTAATGTTTACTGCTACTTGCTAATGGTTATGAATATAGCGTCTGGCATGTCTTTGTAGTATGTAATAATGGCGCAATAAACATCTGCTCAAACAGTTGTTGTGTCTCAGTACAGAACCCAGTCATCTCAGGTTTGGACCGCGCACAACTACTAACTGTATGTTTCTACAAATTTTCCAAATTATTAAATTTTAACAGTGCAGTGTTCTATTTTATTTGTTTTTTCTCAGACGCAAAAGTTTCAAATTTACTTATGACATTTAACATGTAATAATTCATGCGATAACTTGCTTGATGCTTTTATCATGTTAGATCAAATTAATGACAAGAGAAATTAAAACAATGTACGTGGGTGAATCAAAAAATTTTTGCAGTTTGGCTTTATTTTGAAATACTACATAATAAATTTAAAACTAATTATGCTAATCCTTCAAAATAGTCTCCTTTAATATTTATACATTTTTGCAACCTTTTACGCCAATTTTCAAAAAACTTATGGTATTCCTCTTGTGGAATACTATCAACAATTGCCTGAACGGCTCGAGATAGGTTCACAATACTATTATATTTCTTTCCTGCAAGTGCTTTCTTGATTTTTGGGAATAAAAAAAAGTCGTATGGAGCCAGGTCTGGGCTATATGGCGGATAACGCAGTAATCTTATTCGCTCTTGCCTCAAAAAGTCCATAACCTTAAACCTGCAATGAGGCGCAGCATTGTCATGATGCAGCAACCTATTTGGCAGTGACTTTGCATAGCTCTAATTCTTTATGCAAAATGGTATAGGTATTGCCATATGAAATCCCCGTTCGATTAGCTAACTCCTCTATTTTTTTGTGAGGGTCTTCACTGAGAATATTACGGACATTCTCAACATTCTTTTGCGTAACTGCCTCGCGAGGCCTTCCAGATCGAGGCTCATCTTTTAAGCAGCCTCTCCCATCATTGAAACTTTTAACCCAGTGTTGGACTGTACGCAATGATGGCGCTATATGTCCACAAGCTTTGGCTAATTTTCATAACTTGTGCCAACGTCTGTACCATTTTGCCATTCGACGAATATGTAGAAGCGATATTGTTCACGTGAAAATTGAGCCATTGGTTTTCTAACAAGTAGGGTTTGAAAGACGATATCTCGACAACTACTAATCAAATTTGGTTTGTTTTGAAGATCAAAACTTTAGTTTTTATTTGGTTAGTGTCAATTTGCCTCAGACTATTGACCTGTAAAATGCAGGGGTCGGCGCAAAAACTTTTTGATCCACCCACGTATAAACGAATTGTGTAAAAAAAAATTATCTATCGAAATATGAATTTGGCATTTGAAATATTCGTGAGCAATTGTTAGTATAAACCAGATCATGACATAAAGTTTTCGCGTCTTCGTTAATTAGCCAAATTGCTATATTGTTATTAATCAGACAAACATTGATATCAGATATACATTCTAATAGTAAAACTAAAAATCGTATTACGGTCTAACCGTAGATTTACCGCGCGCAATTATAATGTACCAATAGACTTTGTCAACGACTGTATTACATAAACAATCTAACCACATTATCCCATGATTTAAATAAGTCATAGTATGATTAGGGCTACATTCTACAGTTTAATAAGCATATTAATATTAATATTAAAAAAAAGTACCAATATACTGTATATTAATGCAATTATCTTACAATTAGATCGTAAACTGCTAACAAGTCGCGTTTAATAATAATAATCGCGCGAATGCAGTCAGGCGTGTGTCATAGCTCGTATAATAATAATTGTGTGTCCGAGAACCAATAAGTCGACGCATAACGCGTTGTATGTTCGATTTCAGACGTTAGATTCTCATATCAATATCATTGAAATTCGATTAGCTTATAGTTACGCCATTCTAATAAAATAATACTTGCGACAATTATTACTATAGTATATCAGTCTAATGTCAAAACTTTGTTTAAGAAATACAAGGATAAAACAGATTACGGAACTCGGTGAACAGAGAATGACAGTTTTTGTATTACTTTATTTGCAAATACACTTGAGGCGGATTTTATTTAACAAACATATGTTAGAGTGTTCAAAGAATTTAAACTTTAAAGGTCAGGGTTATGTTTAAATTACTTAAAACGGTACACTTTACTGTAAATGGTAACCTGCTGTTTAAACACAATTTGCCTACAAATGTATTGCGCTAAGGTCATAAATTCCAACAATTGTCCTTGACTTTCAATTTTTTGCTCTCGGCCAGGTACGTGTTGCCTTTAGCAGAGGGCCCCCACGGAATGCCAATTTTTAAGAAAGATGTGCACGATTATTTAAACGTAAATACAACTCCCCCGTAGTTATAAATACATGGTCTTCTATTTAATTAATAACTGGTTGATGGTTACTATGCTTCTTATTGCTAGCAAAATGCTTTTACGTAAAATTTAGTCTTTTCTCTGATCACATTTCGGCAACTAATCATACGCATCACACAATAAAACAGGCGGGTCAGCGTTCACGGCAGAGTAGCCGTAGTACTGACAATCCGATAAAACCAAGTCCTTAATTTGTGGTTGTAGTGTTTGCGTCTAATACGTAGAACACAAAAGTACCTGTTTTATCATCAACTTATGAGACACATAAACTTGTAGAAATTTTCCCTCAATAGATTTCGGAAGTTATGCCTTCTTTAACAATATCAACATGTAAGAGCATCCTAGTATCAAATTACAAATACCTCGAATGCTCATTAACATATCCACGATGATCTCGATAGACACGTATGAAGAATTTATTGAAAACAAATATACAGTAATTACACATTGTGGTAATAAATAAAAGCGTTAAAAGCACAATTCGACTCTACATTCATAAGGAATTGCTATGGCGGATTGATTGGGGGCAATAATTAAACAGTAATTAATTAGTGTTATATCGCTTTTTAACGATATGTAATAACAAACATCCCTTTCTTTATATGATATGACAAGAGTCTTTCTCTTACCTTTGATGAAAGATTATCTCAATCTCGTTTGTCGCCGTTTCGTATACATACATCTTTATAGACTTTACAATCTGCCAAGTCCCGAATTTGCAGAATCATGTTGCCCACATACCGCAAAAAATAGGTATCGATGCTGTTTTAATTTCGTAAATGTCTCGATTTCAATGTACCCATTTTCATAACCGTTGTCTCTTCTCCATCGCTTCTTATTAAAGTTCGGTACTGCAATAAGAAAGATGAATCATTTCTTTGTTAAAAGAAAATTTTGGCATCAAGTGACAATTGTAGTAGGTTAACGTGTTTCCTTCCGTAAACGCAAAACCAGTACGTACCATTCAAACAAGGACTTGATTCTTGCTTCTCGTTATAACATCCGATAAACAAAAACTCCGTTGTTATTAGCCCAGATGGAAACCTAAACTTGCAAAAGGCGTGGCGATATAGTATACTCTGGAGATGCAAGTTAAACGTGCGGGTTATTAATACAATGTTAACAGCAGCGATATAGGTTTATTTTGTTAGGAGAACCCAATAAAAAATCGACTCTCATTAATTAATAGAATCGACAACTTCTCATATTCGCTACTCTTTGCACAGACTTAGTAAAGACATAAAGATACACCACAAAGTTTGAAAGGCATTATAGCCACCCACCTTATCATACGATCCGACGAGATCTCCTCTCTCGCCCCCTCACTCCCTCTCTTTGAAATGTGGAATTTGCCTTTACAACGGGTTAAGCAAAGGAAGATGCGACCGTGCTTACGATGATATAATACGATTAACAATAATTGGTACTATGAAAAGATTAATCGATTCAATTATGCCATCATCGATTCAATCATGCCATTCTGCCAGTCAGTTTTCATTATGTGTGACATGACTCGGAACATGTATGTAGAGCAGTAGCAGCAAATCTGTAGAGTTAATCAGTAGAATGTAGCACAACACATTGGTTTTGTTTATCACAATTAAAAAAACGGCACGCCAATCTTTTGTTCATTGATGAACTTCTTATTATGGTAATCATGAATGACACTATATAAAAATATGCTTTATTCAAATGCTCGCTCTCGTTGTCTGCCTGAATTGGTAAAATTTATTATTGTACGTATTGTTAGCGGTGACGAACGATATTAATATCAATTTATTCAAGGGGATAGGGAAAAGTCGATTTGACTCATACACTGCTGGTAATAATCGTAATAGAGTTCAAAGGGCTGTTTCAGATATTTAGGTTACACTGGATGGCGTATGATATACCGCCTATGCAATGCTTTTAGAACACACCAAATCCGGGTTAGTCTGCGTGGTCTCTTGTGCATATATGTGTAACGGGCAATTGTTGGACAGAAATACTTTATTCATATCACATGATATAATAATAAGCAAAGGAAATATCCTTGCCTAAAAAAAGAATCCAAATTGCATACTTACCGGTTGGAGAGGAAAAAAAAAAAAGGGGGCCATATTTAATAGGTTAGTCAAAGGCGCTGTGGCTGTGGCGCTGTGGCTGTGCGGCGTGGCAATTATTGAAATAAAGCATATCTTTTTGGGGCCAATGTCAACGTGATTGAAATTACACCGATATATGCTATGACTGATGGCAAGCGCAGGTCATCATCTACAACAACGTTACTACATTATCCCCAATACATGCTATTATCAGTACCGGAATCAGAATTCCTTTGTGCTTACACATGTCCGGGTAGGTGTAAACAAACTTTATACCTTACTACACATTAACTTGTTTAAGGATGTGTACTCTTTATCGACTATTTTTAGCGTATTGTTTCGAATTATCATTAAGAATAAATGTAATTTAAAAACTTTTTCTATTAAGCCACGAAGCCTCTTACCAAATTAGGAATCGTGTACGGAAAATTCCATATAGTCGTCCTAAGCCGCCGTTGTCTATTACATAATTGATATCGCAAATTTAAGTTTTATGTACGTTTCGAATGGCTAACGGTCAAAAATAGTGTTACAAGAAAAACCTTGATTGTATGATTACATGATTGCAGACTATTCACGCATTGCACGTTTATACTCAAACTTGTTAATCACCAAAACGAGCAAGATGCTGTGTAGTCATGATTGGCGAAGACGTGCTCTAATTGGTTGAACGAAATTCGCCAGCCAGTCTATCGTATATACTTTCGGGTGTGTGCATAATAATAACAATGGCTTGTAGGCTTCTAAAAATACCTATAAAGATATGATTTTATTGGTGAGTTAAATTTAAAATTTTTAAATTAAAATTAGAAAAGGATCGCCGTCGCAATGGATCAAATGGATCAATCACCCCACTCCACTTTTAAAAAACAATTCAAAGAAACTGATACAATTGTCAATTTGTTTGGGGGTTGCGTTTATCAAAAGTCGGCTGTGCCTTTGCGATACCCGGTCCGTTTTTGTTTCCTCCATAACAACAATGGGGGCCTATTGCCCTATTATTGATTTACGCAGTAGTATGTTGTTTGGTGTTACTTATAAACATTGTCTATCACTTGCCAAAACTCAAACACTATTTTATCACCAACGCGGCCAAGTCAAATACGGATTAGCCTCGTCATCACGCTATCAGGAATAGATAGGGGTCTGCGTACAAATAAAAACAAGGCTATAAATAAACTTGGCGGAAAAAAAAATAATCTTCTCTCTCTTTTTTTTTCATTATACGAGGGAAACTGAACAAGTTAACAAGACATTCGCTGAAAAATTTCAAGGGGAGGACAACGTTAAGGGGATGAGAATATATGTACATGCATGTACGTTTGCAATAATTGTCTAGTACAATCGTTGTGTAAATCAGATTTATATTACTGGTCCTGTGTAGACCATTAGTAGGTAACGACTATTGGTTAAAACTAAATTAAAGGTAATGATCTCAGAAACTTTAAACATATTAAGAATACTGTCCCAAATACAATCTTTGCATTGAAATAAAAGAACTATAAAAATTTCGTAATCCGACAGCTGAATTGCTTTATTGAGAAACATGATACAGTATTATCGTTATCGTTACTAATTAAAAATTGCAAATTGTGTACAAGTTGGCTGACTCTGTAAAGTGGCATATTATTTACAACTATTGAAAATGTTAAAATTGTTGGTCAAGCTTTCCTCCCAAGCCGCATACTGGGAGATAAACTTTATCTATCTTCTGATTGTATTACTATGTGACAATGTAGCACTCGATCGTACATGATATATTGATTGTAACTATTGTGACGATTGTAATGATTGTAACGATTGTAACGATTGTAACGATTGTAATGATTGTGACGATTGTGACGATTGTAATGATTGTAAGGATGACAACAACATAAACAAACAGCAGCAGCAGCAGCAGCAGCAGCAATACGATAATAACAACAACAGTTAGTACGGATGATAACGGTAATAATATGGCACAGCAGCTGCATTATCTCATCCCCAAATTATCATTGTACTATCGTAAAACCAAGCACACATCATCCAATTCAGGTAAATCAATTTATTTCGGTAAAATAACATTGACTTACATAACATGGCTTACTACATTTATCATAGAAGGCTAGACCCAAAGACGTGCAACAAGTAAGTTCGACCCAATCTATCATTATTCTTCTGTTTCTTATTCTGGAAATTTGTCATAACGTTTGTTCCCAAATCAAACATTTTGCAATTACAGCAAAGCCTTTGTGCGTTCGACTTTCATGCGTCACGCAACAACAGACATTTAATTACAAGCATATGTATATACTCTATACAGCATACAAATGCAAAAAGTATAGAAAAAAATATAAACAAAAGCATATAGTTAGTTAGTAGTAGGGTTAAAAAAAAACGGAAAATAGGTAAGTATTTAACAAGCATATTTTCAACATATATGTATATGAAGATAAAAATTATGACACTATATAACATATATACGAACACAAATGTACAACAAAAAAAAAGGGGGGGGGAGGGGGAAAGACTTTTTTCTTTTTCAAGACTTTTTGCCGCTCAATTAATCGTCAACTCTCTAATCCAAAACGTGTTAACTATCTATGTGATAAAAACATAGACGGGTAAGATATGGATATGTATCGGTTATATCGTATGTATATATATGAATATGTATAATAATCAAACCAAATATAGTATATAAACATTCTATCAATCGATCGAAACCTCAAATAAGACTATACATTCCCACAATAAACTCTCCCAATAATGCACATCACGCACATCAGACAATACACTGTAAAGTCGTCAAAATGTAAATGTTTACCACATGCCTTTTTCGCAAGTGTCTAGTGAAAATGATTTTAGAAATTCAAAATTCTGCTCAAGCACCACATTGTCATGATACGCCACAACCTCACTGCTGCAAGTTTCCGTCATCATAGCAATGTCGTATCTCTTTTCATCCGTGCATGTAATGTCACTATCATTTCCAAATAAGTCATCGGCAAATGCGGAACTCATCAGGTCCGACTGTAAAAAGAATTCAGGGCCAGACTCGGGGTAAATTGGAACCGAATAAGGAATAGAAGAAGGGGTGGCAATATCATCAGAAAAGAAAGAGGACAAGGAGGAGGTAACACCGGTATCGACAGAGTTACTACTATTATTACTACTACTACCACTACTGTTCTCTGTGCTGAAATTCAAATCTTCCAACATGCTTTTCCACTCGGGTAAGTAAAGCGACTCGTTTGCGTTCACATGGTCTGCTTGATCAAATGTTGTCGTTGTCGAGTTGGCTGACAGAGGAGGAGATTGAGAATACGTCAAGTCTGTTGTAGCCGTCGATTCAACTCGAGTCGATGTAAAGTAATTGTACGGCGTCATTTCAAAATCCAATAAAGCAGTATTGGCGGCAGTCATTGTCGGTGTCAGAGTCTTGAAAAAACACATTGACGCAAGGTTGGATGATGAATTCCTAATTGACGGGTTTACTTTCATCGTTATCTTGGTACCGATGCTTTTTCTCGGACGTTTTAGCTTCTTTTTCGATGAGTTTGTGGCGTCGGATCGAGTTTTCAGCAAATATTGTGTTCTGGCTTCTATAGAAACTTGCTTGTAGAAATTTTTCACATTGTCCGGTTCGTTTTTCCATAGTTTACTGACGATTGGTGCGAGATCTGTCATGGAAAAGTTGTGATTTCGTTCCTTTAGATATTTTACATACAAGCTGCGATAAATGATAAACTCGTTGGGGAAACGAGCTAGCCGTTTGCGTGTATATTTTGTCACTAAATCAGTAATGTCTAGCTGGGGTGGGAATGGTAGAGTATCTGGTGGCTCTACAAGCGCAGCGGTCTGGGCAAGTCGTAAACGTCCGCCTTGCTTTTTGGGCTTTGAGTCTCGCTTTTTTGAACTTTTTGTCATTTTCTCTTTTAAAACTTTTGATTGTGGTGAGATTTTGGAAATGGCTCCTTTTGGACGCGACACACTCGTATTTATAACTTTTGTCCTAATGAGAGTGGTTTTTTAGGGGGTCAGCGGTTGAGGGTCTATATTTAAATTAAATTTTTTTTATTTATAGAATGTAAATATTGTTTGTATTGTGGTACAAATGTTGATCACCTGATTTTTTTTTATACGTTGTGCGTTTAGTTTATAAAGTAGTGAAATAATGCTCTTTGCGCAGCTGAAATCAAAGAACAGCTGCATTCCGCTGGCATAAATGACTGGATGTACGCATTGTGCAGATAATATCACATGTAGTATAGAACTAATGGGTATATACTGTCTGAATAATACAAATCAGACTATGTGTACGTGTTGGTTAAAAATAGCTTTTGCTGTTGGGAGAGAGGAAAACGGCAGCGGGAGAAGGAAAAGAGCGAAGAACTTTCCATGTTTCGTTTTTTTAGTAACCAGGACATTGTTTGGCAGTTCGGAATTGAAACGCTACAGATCTCGCAGCCCTGAAGGACATTTCTCACCCCATTCAGTAATTTACATTTGCGTCCATAAAAAGTAATATAGTCTGTCGGTTCTTTGTTTGTTACTGGCGACTTGCGACAGGGGATTAAAAATTGCTAACCCGTGAAGGCAATTCGTCAATGCCAGAAATAAATTAGGGAGATGTTTCCATAATGTCGTTCTAGAAACATTTATATTAAGGCCAGTAAAATTGGGTATACAGACAATAACATTACAATAACAACAGTGATATTATAGTCGATCCGATATATAACAAGTAAAAAAGTCATACAGCCATAATTAATTTATCATGTTTCTCCCCTTTATCTAAGCTTATATGGGCAAATGCAACCAAACACTGATACTTGCGTTACGCTACAATGGTAGTTCCATATATCCCAGGTTCTCCACCATACGTTATATACACGTAAATACTATAAAGTAAAACGGGTAATTTTGATGTTTCCAAGATTGTCATCCGCATCAAGTAAATCCTGGTTATCCTTATCATGCCTCAATAAGGGAAATTCTAAATGCAGAGCAGCCTTCTCGTTTAAAATGTGATGTCGTACAAAAATCTAGAATTACTTGCTCCGGAATGTTTGGTTCAGGTGCCCATACCTGGTACCCCACCGATGAACATCCACCATTTCGTAGATTTTCCAGACTACTGTAATTTGTCTAATTATAGATCAGGTTTCTATTTATAAACAAGCATGACACACATGGCGATGAATCATGATACATGCCAACTCACGTTATACAACTGAAGAAAAAAACGGTTCGACTCTTAAAATATCGCAGTAAATCAACGACTATCGAAAAAACAAAAGAAATAAAACGTTTGATATTATGGAACTATAACTTTTTTGAGTTCGTGCATATACTATAAACTATATGTTTGTTGTAAGGGAGGCAAAAAAAACCTGAACATACAAGAAATAGAATCTATTAAGTATGTATTACAACTGTAATAAACCAATAACATTTATTTGTAGTCTCCATAGAGTTATTTATAAACATGAAACAGAGTGGTTTTACAAAAACTCAATCTCTCATAGAACTTTTCCAGAAATGTGAAAAGATACGCCGAGGCACAAAGATATGTGGCTGAATGTCAATGCAAGACGTTCTCTTTTCAATTAAATAATTAACGCGTGAAAAATAGATAAAGGAAAAATTGTTAGGTTGTAGCTGTAATACAGGGGAAAAATAGTCTGCTTGCTCATCCGAAAATACATCGTCATCGGCTAAACTCGTTACTTTTTTCCCCCGCCACCCGCACACACGCACACACACATTCCCCCCCCCTTTATCACTGCATCCCGTTCTATTATTGATTGTTCTTTATGCATGTTTTTTTTTCTTTAGCCGTGTGGAATTGGTTATTATCCGAAAGCTCATGTCGTAAAAGTTTCTTGAAAAACCGTTGCATTATGTCTGCTATTACTGTTCATACATCAATGTCAACATCTCTTTCTTACAACCCATCTTTTAAACAGGAAAAAAAAAACAGTTCTAGTGCGTCAGCGCTCTCAAAAACCAAAACCGTAGCCTTGGTCTTTTACTAAATCATTACAAGTGTCGTTTACAAACCATATAACTCTTTTTACTATAAGAAACGTTTACTCATACGTTACTAGTATGCTTAGAAACGAATAACCATTATCCTCTTGAAAAGCGCATTCGAGAGGGAAAATTTTCTGACGTATACCAGGTAATGTGTTTGTTTGTGCTTCTAAATTTTGATATGAGGAATGCCGATTACTATTAAAATTTTTCTTGGCACTTTTACTTTATTAATCTATACATTGTAAAGCTTTTCGATAAACCCGCATCTGATTTAAGTGAACCGAAAATTGACTTGTACATTTAGAGTTTTCAATCAATAAATCGTTAGTACTATCTTTCCACAAGAAATCTCGAACGTTATGGCAGGTGATGCACAAGCGATGCTAGTGACAGTGTTGAAAGAGAACAAGGCTTCGGCCATAGTAATAGGGTGTTCCGATGCGATGAAACTAGAATAACGAATGACTAATACGATGAGATTGAAATTGGTCATCGGACTGATAATATTTTGATCGGAAATACCGATCGGAGATTACCGTTAGCAAGTGCCCCATGGAAAAACGGTGAATAATAATAACCGATCCGTCTCTATTTCCCCCCCCCCCCCCGCTCTTTCCGTACCACACAAATGAATAACAGTTATATTTAGTAAACGAGTCAATCGGTCCAGTTTTTACCAGTAATACGTTTTTAGTTTTTTTACGACAAAGATCATGTACGCTTGTGCGATAAACGAAGTAAGAAATCAATATGTGATTATTCACAATAAAAAATACCATCTTATCTGATCTCACGAAATCAGACGACACTTTTCAGACAAGTTGGCTAGTGAGTGAGAGAGAATGACGATGGGTTCACAGGTATGTTACAAATTTATTATTGACAATTCATTGCACCTGGGCCCCGCAGTGATGGAATAGTGTACCATGGATGCATGATCCTCTTTTCTGTCTTGCCTCATCCGTAAAAAAAGCTTAAAGTTGGGTTAACATCTAAATCTGCTATAAAATAGTTATTCGGCTCACACACACTGTTGCATCAAGAAGATAACTATTAGAATTGTTGCACTCAACGATTGACAAACCGGATAGAGTAAAATCTGACGCCTATAACAGCACTACACTAAATGCGAGAGCTTCTTCAAGGGCTGATGGAAGTTTAATGAGTGCAACCTCTCTCTTCCTAAAGAAATATGATGGTTTGATCTCTACTAGATATTCGACTTTTACGTTTTAGAATATTATGTTACAGCCTCGATTCATCAATTCTAACTGAGCTGCGGCGTCTCGTTTTAACGTTTATGCTTTTTTCTCCCGATATTAATCTTCTCGAGCAATGTTTGGTCCTTTTTACAGTCTTTACCTTGTTGATTTATATTAAAGTTTGTTGATTTTAATATGCCGTTTCTCACGATTAGATTCGAATGCCGGATTACATTGTATCATAAAATTCTGGAACTTTATTGTAATAAACTGAGGCCAGAGACTTTCTTTGGCATAACGAGAGATTTGGAGATTACAACTGTATGTCAGATTTTTACATGCATGGAGTCATAATGATGCCAATTGCTTACCACATACTATACAGTGGCACCTTGGTACCTTTTTTTTCATTATTGTCTGATTGCTTAAGAACATGTTTAACTGATGTAATGAATAACATTTTGACAGACGTTTTGTATTATGACGGTGGAAATGAGTCGAAAATTATGTGTGCATATCAAATACGTACGTCTTACTGAATTTGTATAATTATACATGTTTACGCTGACGTTTACGTTTCGATTGTATATCAATGCTGTGTGGTGATTTATTCGTTAAAACCAATCTTGTAACACGTATGTTGAATTGACGACTGGATTCTCTATATTTCGGGAGACATCAACAATCATTTCGTAGACGTAATGTTTCGCCGACAACACATTCACCAATATTATTTCGAAATTATCCTTTTTTGGTAGTTGACTGTTGATGAAATTAACCGATTGTTGGTCAGTGAAATTATTGTTGATGAAACGAAATGACCTTGTCGACGAAACATTACGTCTGCGAAAGTGATTGTCGATGTTCGGACTCCCTATATTTGTTAGCAAAGCGAGAACGTTTACAGACAGCCCCAACGAAAAGCTACCAACAATTGAAGAAAAAAAAAAGTTAACGCTGAGCTATCCCTTAATCTGTAGGCCAATTTTTGATATGCATTTTTGAGAACAATATTACTAATTTAATTTGCTTTGAAGATTTTAAATGAGCTAACTTATGTAGTAAAAGGATGCGTTGTTGAAGAGTAATTATAATGTGCATTCAAAAATTTTTTAAAATATGGCAACTTACGTCCCTTAAACGCACACTTCCCTCATACTTCCTCCCCTTACCACTCTACCTAATTCTGAGCTTTTACATTACTTTTAATGCTTTATTTGTCTTCAGTGCTTTTATTATTGCTCTTCTTGCTCTGGTTTATAGTCATATTCAATTATGTTCACCTCACTGAAACCTGTTTCTTATGATGACGACTTGCGAGCCTAACATAGCTTCAAATTGGTATAATAAGGTCTTTTTACTAAGAATATCTACAACAGACAATTAATTAACAGTTTACAATGTTAAACGTATGGAATTATAACGTTTATTAGCACATCGGCGAGATTGTTACTTAGAGTTAAGAGATTTGTGTAACCAACTTCACGTGATTGCGCATAATAATGCATTTTTATCCCTAGAATGTCAATTTTTGCTGGCTTGGAGTGACGATAAGATTTGAGATTACGTTTAACATAAATTTAGTACAAATTAAATTTTGCTCCTATAATTTCACCCACTGCAGTCATGTGTCCGTAAGTTTTTTGATGGTGATCCTGGGGTAGTTTAATAATAGCTACGATTCCA